TCTATGTGATAAACAATTGGCAACCAAACGGTGGCTCTCCCTCTACATTCGACGGATAATGTGTATAGGTATTTAATGTAATTTCTTAGCAATTTGTTTTGGTAATTTAGCTAAAGCGATATATTATGAAATTAAATTAATCACTCAATAAGTATTAACATTAGATTGTTTCCTCGATATGGCCATGGTGGTCATCAGTGACTGGAGTGCCTCAAATGTTTACAATAATTACAATAAAATAAATGCGGTCAACTAAAAGTTTTGAAAGTCATAGCTAGCTAGACATTATTTTCAATTGAAAAAAAAATTATAAAACATAATACTATAATCCTATGCTTAAAATGTATTTTCTTGTAGCCGCCTGTCAGCAACCTGTAAATCTGGCGCGACAGTGAACGTGTTAATAAGTAAATGTTGTTCAAATTATATCGTGTTTGATATCATTTTCATCAGAAAAATCTCACCAACATGTTAAAAAAAATTGCAGATGAAAAAAAGTAAAATTAAAGAAATTATATTTTTTTATTATGATTTGTCGAGCCGTGATAGATATACGTGAATATGCCTTGCCAATATAATAAGGAACGTATAAATGAAATTCATTGCTCCTCGAGATAATGGCACGCGAGACGATACTTTTAAAATGAAAAACTTGTTCATAATTAACGTTAAATATGTAAAATAAGTGAAATTGAAATAGATTTTTATACTCTAACCTACTTCTAATCATTTTTAAAAAATTAATTTAATTAATGAAATATACGTTTGTATGAAAGGTTACAATAATACATTAAAGCATTTAAATGAAAATCCGTTGTTTCGTTGAAAACAGCAACACTGCATAAATCATTTGCTTTTGTTTTATTCAATTTGGTCAGCTGACCCAAAATCAGGATTGTGTTAATACAGATTGTAGGGGAGTCATGGGATGCATGTTGCTTTCATATGCACGCGAAATCTATTCTAAATCCGGAATGAAAAGTGTTACCTTAAAAACTGGAAATTTATTTCATGAAAAAGATTGAAAATAAAAATGAAATAAATAATAAAGATCGTTAAAAAATTTAAATGGCGGAGAAATGGCGATTTATTTCTAATATTTGAAATAGTTTTTAACTTTAACCAAGGCAAAATACATTTTTAATAAAAAAGCAATTTATAAAGTATGAATAAATTTCATAATTATTTGTAATATAAAATGAATTTATTAAAGATAGATAAATACTTTTAATCGATGCAGAAGCGTATTAAAGAACAAAGAGCTTGTAATACCAAATTACTCAAGAACCAATCTAATAACTTTTTTTATATTCAATACAAAGTGGAATGCAAATTATTGCATTTTTCAATACAATGCAATTTATGTTAAATTTAATTAAACACAACGTTGATAAATATTGTTATCTCCAATGACCTGGCATCTTATGAACTTTTTTCAATCTTTGTTAACAAAATAATCCAAAGATTTATGAAATTTTTCATTGTTGATTTATTACATGTAAATAAATTATTATATACATATTGCATGATTGTGTCTCCAATCTTTTCACGTTGCATGACGTACATATATCGCGATATTCATTCATTTTCCAAGAGCAGCATATTTCTCAATCGGTTTAATTAAAAGTTTCTAGTTCCAAAAGCGTGGCCTACACGCTACAACCGCTTTTCATTCTAAAATTAAATTTTTTGCACGGTCTTTTAGTTATAACTTTTACATACGTTGTTTTGCTATATATTCGTAGAATTATTTTTTGTATAAAAAAGAACACATATATTTTAAAAATATTAAGATTGTTGTACTAATCTTTAATTTAATCCACATTGGAAAAAAAAAACAAAATAAAACTGAAAATATAATTTTCAATTTTATAACCGTATACTAATTGCAAATGAAATTGTAAGTATTTGAACATTTAAGATGTGCACATATAAGTTAGTTAAGTTAGTTTAATTAAGAAATACAAGTTGTAGGATGTTATGGAAATAAGTATTAATTGTACACGACATTATTTATCCAATTTATAAAAATTTACTCATGTAGATGTTAATTACAAGCATTGTCGAATAATTACTCAATTTATATTGTACATAAATATACAAAAGGAAGGTGTATATACAATGTAATTAGGTACAGTACATATGTTATAAAATTAACCAAATCACTTATAATATTACAGTAGTGCACACATAAGCGTCCGCAGGCGGGACCGAATGCGGACGCTTAAGTGGGGAGGTGACTTCTGCGAATTTAACTAAACAAAAGAGAGGAGATGTGCCTGAGTGGGATACCGATATATCAAGTGTCAGTTGTTTACATTCAGGAGTCGATATCAAATTACTTTATTTCACTCGGCACGCTCGAACTCTACTGCGAAGCCCATTTCCAAGAATTGGTGGGGATAGTGACGAACGTGCTTCTATCATATTATGACAAGAAAAAATTATTTTCATACTATTTGCATACTTTGAAAATTGCAACAACTTTATAATTAGGAAACATTTATCCATCTAAATGTTTAGATTTTTTTTATATATTCAAATACATGTAAATAGGTATTAAAGTGAGATCAGTTTATCATCGAATGTTTTTTCTTCTTCCAAATCCAACAGAATGCTACCTGAAAATTTCCACATAGTAATCCCAAACCTATGTTGTTCCTCGTCGAAAAACCGGATCGTTTAGTATTTATTCGTACGAGAGTATTCGTCGCTGTCAGATGCATCCAACGGAATACCCCGTGGGTTTTAAAGAACGTTATTATTTCAACCGTAAACATTGTCACATGTTAACGTAGACGTTTTCGCAGGAAACAATGTTTCATTGCCATAAATGTTCCAAAAGTAACGTTGTATAATGTCAATGAAACAAAATAAGATACAATTCAGTGTGTTTCAAAATTGATACTTTAGCAGTTGTATTTTTTAATATAAATGACAAAGACTTGTATGTTAAATTATTATTACAAAAGAATAAATTACAACTTGATTGCAAATAAAATATATCTTTTTATAATAACGTAATGAAAATTCGTTATTTTCACTATTAAACAAAATATTTCTAAATTATTAATCTAATTTAACTGTTCATTAAAACACCATAATATTATTGTGTAATAGTAGTATTTAATAATTTAAGTATTGAGCAACAGTGCAGTGCATAATGTTATTCAAGTTTGGTAAAATAGTCTAAAATTTGTCACTTTCATTATTTAAAAAAAGAAAAGTTTTGAGTTGTATTAAGTGCTAATTAATTTACAGTTTCACATTAACATAAAAATGTTCTATTTTGTTTTATTTGAAAATATCATACAGTTAGAATATCACTATGTCACTTAGTTTAAACAAATATGTCTTTTCAAATAATATATAAACGTAATAAAAAAAAGGCAGAAAAAAAAGAAACTTGCCGAAACCCGGGATCGAACCGGGGACATCTAGATCTTCAGTCTAACGCTCTCCCAACTGAGCTATTTCGGCTTGTGATAACATTGTTTGCCTGTATTGGCAAATTAATGCATTCATACTAACCTAATTAATAATAATAAAACGTAATTAACCTTTAAATGTTTTCAATATATCATCAATATAATATAACTTTTTCTAAACGTAAATTATACAACTTTTTCGTACATTCTGAAATATCGTCGACTGATTTTAAACTATTTTTATTTGTAAGACGTATACGAATAAATTAATGTTTAATCATGTGAAGAAGTACAAATATATTGTACGAATATTATTGTACAAACTAAAAGCTTAGTAAATTTTATTTTGTCTCTAAAAGAATCTTTCTAAAATACATCGAGATTAAATTCATTGGTACATGTATGTGTATGTATGTTTGAAAATACTGGAAAAATTATTATCCACATCGTAGTCTTGTCAAATTCGATAAATGGAAAACAATGTGCTGCAATGAATTGGTTATATTCTAATAGTGTACTCACGGTAAATTATCGTTCTCAATTTATGTTTGTCATTTTTTCTGTAACTCGACCTACTTTTATCACATTGTTTCGCATATCCTGCTGCTTACCAGTCTTTGCACGGTGCACAAGTTTACATTTCCCAGAACAGACTTTAAGGTTATTCTTTTTGGTCGCAAAGCGAAATCACGCAACAGTCAGAGACAGATATAGACTCTACGAAAACAAACCACGAATTTGAGAGAGAGAGAGAGAGAGAGAGAAAACAGGCTGCCAAGGACGCAAAGTTCAATCCGTATGCTTGTCAAAATGTGTTGTATCTGTAATTTTCATAATAAAATCTTGAAATGATGTCTAGCACGTATAATTTTGTAACGTTGCTTTTTAGTAATAAGTACTTCGTTTTACACATGCTTTAAGTTAATTTATTCTGTTTTATAAATAAAAAGAAATTTAAATCTTGCAAAAATTTATTACGTATTGAACACTATTTTTATATTTCAAAATTACGTAAAAGGTATATTAGTATGAATTTATTTTACACCAAATTATTAATAAAAGTTCTTAAATGACTTTCAATTTCTTTTAGATACTAATATATTAACCTATCATTGTATTTTATTATTGCAGTTACATCTTTCGAAAGTTTCTTGGCTCATTTTTTGTATTTACGAATTAAAAGTTTTCTTGTTTTAAATTTAACTGTTTGATGAAGATTTTCATTTCGTATCTCATTTAATATCATTTTTCTTTCAAACGTTCATTCTCAAAAATTGCAATCGTATGTAAACATTTTCTTCGAATATGTATAGGTGCAAAGAAACAGATGGCGCTATTTACAAAGTGCGTATTAAAAAGATATTTATTGGCATGTTTGTAAAACCGTCGTCAAAGAATAATTTCTTACATGCCTATTGAAGGAAGAACAGGAATAAGCAACATTCTCACGTTCTGTCCTCGAAACTGGTTGAAGCGAGTTGAAATGTTCTCGAGGCCGCCATAATGTTCTTCCTGTCTGAACTTGGCCTACAGTCTAGTGCGTTTTTTTCAGTGTCGCGTCGTACGTAGATGGTGACGGTTCGGTGGAAGATTTGCGGATTGTGAAGAAGAAATTTGCCATTTACAAGGAGTGGTGAAGTAAATTCGCAAGTAAATCTTTTCCTCGTGCCCTACCGGGTGTAGGCGCATCGAAGAAAGAGGAAAGTACCATCGTTCGCGACTGTTAATCAGACATTATGGCGAATTTGAGACAAACTCCGCTGACGTGTAGTGGACACACTAGACCCGTAGTGCATCTTGCATTTTCCGATATCACTGAATCTGGATATTATCTGATTTCGGCATGCAAAGGTAATTAATTTTCGATTCTCCTACCTTGAGGAGGAACTTGCCGGGGACTCGTATCGGTGAATCTTTTTTTTCTCCACAATCGACACGTTCAATTCTTGATCGCCTTGGCCCAGTTTCTTTGCAAACCAAGGTTTTATGAATTACGAGTTTCGAGGTTAGATGCTGTATATTCGTAGTATTATGGATTTCCTGATGAATTCTTTTGCTAGAATATAGTAACTTTCAGTTTGTTTAGAGGACTAGTTCTAAGCGATGTTTAAAGTGCGTTTGTATTCGTCGTATTTCATTAATGTGCCTGTATGCGTGTGTGCGCATATACCTTCCTAATTGGATAAAAGTTCTCCTCTAATTTGTTTTGTTAAAGTTCATTAAATTAGGTGTATAATTCATTTACATTATATTATTGGAGTTTGAATAATTCTTCAAAGTAGAAACACTTTTATAAGAGATATATAGTGGTGAATTTTTATGTGCCTGTAGATGGCAAACCTATGTTACGACAAGGAGATACTGGAGATTGGATTGGAACATTTGAAGGACATAAAGGAGCAGTGTGGGGTGTAGCATTAAACCCTGAGGCTACAAGAGCAGCTTCAGGTGCTGCTGACTTTAATGCTAAAGTCTGGGATGCAATTAAAGGAGGAGAAATTCATTCATTTCAACATAAACATATAGTCAAGTCTGTCAATTTCAGCACTGATTCTAATTACTTATGTACTGGTTCTAATGAGAAACTTGTGCGCATTTATGATCTTAACAAGCCAGAAGCAGCACCACAGGTTAATATCTATAGTGGTATTTGATAAAGGAATAAAGTTTTGTAGTATTTTATCTAATCAACAATGTCAACAGGTTTTTCCAGGTCATAAAAATGGTATTAGATATGTTACTTTCTTCAATAATAACACTGCATTAATTACCTGTGGTGATGATAAAACCCTGAGAGTCTGGGACAGGAATAGTGGTCAAGAAATAAAAAGGCTAGATTTTCCAGCAATTCCAAATTCCATGGAAGTGTCAAGGGATGGGAATATCATTACCACTACTCATTCCAATATAGTTACTTTTTGGAACAGCAGAGAGTATGTTTATTTCTTTATATTTTTCAGTTCAAAGTCAATAGATTATATTTTGAGATACAAAGAAAAGAAATAGCTGAGCAAGTTGAAGCTGACTACTGACATAAACACAATGTGTCTTTTTATGTTCTTATTGGGACAAACAGTGACATCTTGAATATGGATTTGCTAATTTGTTATGTAGCCTTCAAGTTTACCTTGTCCCACTAGGGAGTACTTCCTGATGTAATGCCTTACATTTTAATAGGTTTTATGTCCTTGCTTGTTGTTTCTTAATTATTTATTGATTGCAATGAGGATAATCTTAGTTGTTGTTATACTACATATATAAATAAATTCAAATTTTATCGGAACAGATTAAATAAATTGCGCGAATATACGGCACCAACGCAAATGAATAGTGCTAGTTTGCATCCAGATTGTAGTATTTTTGTATGTGGTGGAGAAGACTTAAAAATGTACAAGTTTGACTATGCTACGGGTGCAGAAATTGGTGAGTCACTGTTTCCAGAATGTTTACAAACAAGGTTAACCTTTTTCTGTTATTAATCTATATGAAAACATCTAAAACCATTTTCAGAATCATTCAAAGGACACTTTGGGCCTGTGCACTGTGTACGTTTTTCACCAGATGGTGAACTATATGCTAGTGGTTCAGAAGATGGTACCTTGAGATTATGGCAAACAACCGTTGGTAAAACTTACGGTCTTTGGCGATGTATAGAGCAACCACCTGCGATGCAAGAAAGTGCTGCTGTGCTTAACAATAAACAAGAAGTTCCTGCCAGTTAAAAATCTAACGATTCATAGATAGGGTAAAGTATTTTAACATCGAAGAAGAAAGTATTTTACTCGTGAGTAAAAGTGTCAGAATCAAACAGCAAAGAACGAAACGAATCTATACGGTGATTCGCGTTGAAATTGTACTTTATTGGCTGATTGCCACATATTTTGTAAATATCACATCTTTGTAAAACAATACGTTAAATCAGTCTAATTAATCGTGGTATTCCGAAGAAGACTAAATAACGGACCAACCTTTACTGTAGTTTGATAGGTCATGGAAATGTGGGGCGCCGTTCACTATTTATTATAAAAAAGAAAAAAAAGAAACATTAACATTTATTAACGTTATACATGTCACTATTATACTACAAAATTAGATGGAGGTGTAATGACAAAAAGAAAGACAATTCAGAATGAAATTTTGTGTTCGCATTTGTTATTTTTGTGTTATAATTACTATACAAGTATAAAAACTTGCCTGGAGCAGTTCCAGCGCAACTCCTTTAATACACATATCACTCATCCGCCCATTACGATATTCACTTTTTTATCCCTTTTATCTAACAAGTGTCGCGATATCAATAAATACCGTGACAATTTATTGGAGTCCTCTTTCTCTTCACACTGCAATTATATACTAGGAGATCACTGTACAATTTTTCCTTCAAACTGGCAATGACAGCTTTATACAAAGTCACATCGTGTACTGACCTCTTTACACTTTCAATATTCGAGTACGTCTTCTCTTGTAAATTAAATACTTCTTATAATCTACAAAATAATAGTACTAAACATAACAAGTAAAAAAAAAAAGTACGAGAGGTATTTGTTACGAAACGAAACGGTGTCGTGTTTAAAACAATTCCAGTCGAATATAATACGTGTGTTCTTAATATATTATTTCTGGGACACTCTCTTGATCTTTCTTCAGGATTGATTTCTACAAAAATATACAAGTAGAGGTAACACGTGTTCGTCGTGAATCTTGATTCGCATTTCTGTACAGAGAGTTAGACCGTCAACGATGAGCGCAGCTCGTTAGAAACTAAAAACTTGTCACTGTTGTCGTTGTACAATCTCTTGAAGGAAGACAGTGAGTCTCTTGCGTGTGATAGTTAATAAGCGATCAATTTCTCCTCGCTCAGCCTACGAATTGCGAGAGATCGGGCAATTTGAAGCCATTGAACGAAAGTGGCGTTGGCGCGCTTCTTAGGCTATTTCTGTGTGTCATGAAACCGTGGAAGCTCGTCGGCGTAGTGAATTGTTGAAGCCTCGATGTAGCTTCCGTCGCTGCCAGGACGAAGCCGCACTGAGCCGTGCACACGTCGTCTCGTAAAATTGCCTCTCGGGAAGCTTCGCGCAGAAGCTGATTGCAATCGGTAATCCTCAGAGAAGCGCATTGAGTCTGAAACGGGAACAGTACAAAAACAAAAAATAAGAAAACAGTTCTACGAATCGTAACTTGATACGATATATTTTCGCTAAATAAATATCAATAAAAAACAAATAGAGCCACGTTTCTTCCTCCGATTTGACATCCATGTCTGGTTTCTCTCCAGGTAGCCATGTCCATATGTGGCATAGAACTGCACGGAATTCTTGGATTCAAGAAATTACTCGGCAAATCGAACGCTGCTCGTTGCATGTCGTTATGATCGTCCATGTTCTCGCACATAACCTTCGACAGCGTGACCTTCCGAATTTCCGCTAGCTGATGCTCGGTAAATCGGATGTTAGGGTCGTCGGTCTCGTACCAGAACCGATCGCACTTTCTCGATTGTCTGAACTGTATCGCTATTATACAAGCGAACGTCGGCCCTACGAGTCCTCCTTGAAGTGGTCTTTCGCTGAGTCCACCAGGGAACAGATCGATGTCATCCACAGACGCGTAGATGCGTTTCATACGGGCTATAACTTCCGGCGCCATCTCCCTTGACAAATCCTCGAAAGTGCTGGCTCTTTTCAAATTACAAAGTGCTCTATAGTTATTATACGACGGTATTCCGTGATCTCTAGCACGATGAATATTAAGCGCTATCAAATCGATCCCGGAATACGGAATACCACGGATCTCGAACAGATGATTGGTCACCTCGCCGGTTATAAACTGGTCCAAATTCTCCATAGGAGTAGCGACCAATCCTCGTGACATCTCGTCAAGCATGCCGTGCTGATAGAGCGGGTCAGGATCGAAGAAGCCGTCCCTTAATAAGATAGACGGTTCTACGTTTTGATAATTCTGATCCATCCTCGGCAAATGAGGTCTCAGAAGCGAGTGTCCGATTCTATATGCGGCTGTTGCGAATTCGGTGAGCACACTTGGGTTACAGGTAGGCGAATACTCTTTGTAGTAGCCCTGAGGTAGAAGCTTCAGTCCGTAGAGGGCAACAGCATTCCAGCCAAGAATTCGCGGCAGGAATTCGTTGTACGTGATATGTTGTAGCATAGCGCTGATTATACGACGAGTTTGCTGGAACAGTTTCTCACTGTCCCAATGGGGATTTACTTGTCTTAAATGTTCCACGATTCTGTTGTGTTCTCGTATCCAGACTGTGTGCATCACAGTTAGAGCAGGCTGTTCAGAGGCACGACCATCGCCGCCGATAAAACAGAAGCCGGATTTCGCTTTGCACTCCGGATGAGTAGCGGATTGTGGCAAAAGATCTTTTGCCCCGCGATGTAGACTGTGAGTAACGTTCATACGGCCGCTGAAGCCACGTAGAACGTTACAAATGCAGGTGTTCTCGCCGTATATCACAGACGCATCCAGGAAACCAGTGTTCTGATTGATCTGCTCTCGAGGTCCCAGATGCTGTTGACCTGGCAGTGATCTCATAGACGGGAAGCACATTCGTGCGCCGGAAGACACGTTCACTGTAGGGTAGTAATGATCACCAGGAGGCACTGGGAAAGGATTGCACTCAGGGTGAACCGTACGAGGAGAGTCACAAGAGCGGCAGCTTGGTATGGACTCGGCGAAACCTTTGTGGATCGGCGTCATTGTGAGATCGTGATCTAAAAACTGAGCGTACTGCATGACCATTAGAGTATATCGATTGCTAAGGTTGGAAATGTCTGGATGGAGCACTGTGGAGATAGTTCTAGGATTAGGTAAAGTCACTCCTGTGACCGATGTCGTCCTAGGCTTCGATACACCGTCCTCGTAAACTGGAGGAAGCAATCTCGCGAACGTTGTCAACGATTGACCAAGATTAGGGTTGCGCAGATTGTTACAATGACCTGACAGAGTTCTATACAGACTGGTAGGATCGCAAGGACTATCGTCTACGGGACATTCGACTTCTTCGTGGTTCGTAGGCTTGTTTTGAGATAGAAATCCAGATATGTCGACGTTCTGCAGTAGATCGGAGAAATCGTTGTTGGGAAAACCGAGGATGTTGTCTGTGGTATCGAAGATCTGTCGCCTTCTGCGTTTCAAACCGTGTATGCCGTTCAAAATCTCATTGGTGGCTAACTCGTACATGATCGACGAATTAGCTAGCAACAGGGCATCTCTGTTAGCTTTAGAGAAACTGGCAGCTGTCCCTACCGGTGATTTTGGGTCAGCTATTCTTTGTTGCAACCATGAATTGTACTCCAGTTGTTTTCTCTCGATTAGATCAGCTTCTGCTTTCTTCACAGCTGCTGCTATTAAACTGGGGTCAAGATTTGGCACGATTTCCGGCATCACAGGTTTGTGATTCGCTATTTCTTTCACTGGTTCAGGAAGTGGCTCCTCCCTCCATGGAGTTATGTCGAGCACACTGTGCTGATCACAATTGATCCTAGCGTTTAAATATGGATCTTGCTGGATGAATGATTTCGGTTGAATCTTTTGAATTTTAGTGTTGGTACAGAGAATCCCAGCTAGGGTAACTTTTCTGATTTCAGCCAGCTGAGCTGGATTCAAACCGGATGGAGGAATGTCGTTTTCGTACCAGAACCGATCGGAGTTTCTCATTTTCACGAATTGTCTCTTGAGAATGCATTCGAACGTTGGACCCACTGCTGCACCCTTTGTAGGAATTTCTAAAATTCCACCGAGGAGCAAGTCTACGTCTTCTACCCGCGAGTATACGGATTCCAACAATCTTGCGTGCGCGGGACGCATGAAACTTTCCAAATCTCCGAAATTCTGCACCTGAGGAAAAATAAAGTATATGTTAACTTCAGTATTTTTTTTATTGTATTTTTGCTTTTAAAATAAATTTCTAAGATATATCGAGGAGATTGATATGAACATAGTACTTTTTAAAGTACCAAAATATTAATACGAAGATATATAAAATAAATGAACACATTTGAAAAATTTAGATTAGATTCTGAGAGAAAGGATAAATTTTCATGTAAAATATTCTAAGAACATCATTGGCTATAGAAGAAATTCAAATTAAATAGAAAAAATATTAACGTAAAAACAGAAAGTATTTCGTAGAGACTATAATCAATTCAAACTTTTTGAAAATAATCCACAACAATTTTAATGCTTCTATACTATCAACCCAAGTGATCTCACTTTTTAAAAAGTGTATAATCGACAAATCATTTCTAATAATCCTACAATTTAATTGTGAACAAAACAAATATGCACGCAATTGTAACAATCAAAATTATTCCTTTTAATCCTCTTGTTTTGCATCACTATTAATATCTTCTATACTCAGAATATGTTTTATATCCTTTTTTTTTTTTTGTCGTTGCAACAAAAAATTTGTTAAAGTGGAAACTCTTTTACACAATTGAGATGGTATAAACGTACCGTAACATTGTTTACAGAACAATCAGCCACAAAGTTTACATAGCCAGGGAGTCCGTGATCGCGACCCACGTGGACAAAGCGCGCGTTAGCATCCAGTCGCGGTTCGAAAGCAGACTGGCTCAGATCGAGATTCACGCGATTGGCTGATGCGGTCACGTGGTTCTCGACGCACGTGGCGTCGTCTATGCCGTGTTTACGCAGCGACGTCAGAGCGCGGAGAGCTGCCAGCGCAACAGCATCGTACGTGCCTCCTACGTTCGACGACGAGTATCCATTGTAAAATCCGTTCGCAACTGGCAGCAATTCTGGATCCGTTCGAGCGCCTTCTCCAAGAATGCTCGGCACGTATTCGTTTAAAGTGACATGTTGAATCTGCGCCACAACGAGTTTCCGAGCTACTAAGAATAATTTCGTTTCTTCCCAATGCTCGTTCGCTTCGGCTAATTTCTCGGCTATACGGTTATGTTCGTTCAAGAAAACAGTGTATATCATTCCTAAAGCGATGTGTTCGGTACTGTTGCACACTTCACAAGCAGAAATGTCTACTTTTCCTTGACGGTACGTTCTAAGTCGATTCAACTGCTCATCAGTTATTCCGTAAATATGGGAAGCGTCCAAGTACGCTGACGCACCGTTCATCTGTTCTCTAGTCTCGAAGTTGCATTTGTGCACGGACAAACTCGGTACCGAGCGCCAATAATCCGTGCATCCGCCTTCTTCGTCGTAGATTTCGTAACATTCCGGGTGCTTCGCTTTCTCTGAGCAGCAGAGATTCCCTGAATTCGATGGATGCACTACAGACGCGATGTCTTTGAGTATCAGTTCCGACCACACGCCGGATAAACTGGTTAAACCTTCATGAGCTTCTGGTAATAGGCGCAGGTGGTTGATTAACATCGACACTGCTTTCGTAGGTGTTGGAAGCACGTGGATTCCGAACGACTCCCGGGGACTCGCGATACCTGAGAAAAATAAAAGGTACGTAAATACGTATTTACATGGAAATTTTGTTCTGCGAATGTGGCGAGCAAGATAGGCGATTTAACGTGGAAAGAAGTTGTATTTCTTTACTAAAAAGTTGAGGGTAGGTATGAAAGTGATCTTTGATGCAATCGATCAGTGAATTTTAGTAAATTGTATTTCTTTTTGACACAATCTTACCGCAATCGATTAATGAATTTTATTAAAATAGATTTTTCGTTGAAATTGTTGAAACAGATTTTGTGGCATTTCTTGTTACTTCTTTTATATATCGTTAAAGGTTAGGTTAGGTTAATAGTAAAATAGATTTTTGATCGAATTGTTGAAACAGATTCTACGGCATTTCGTGTTAATTCTTTTATGTATCGATGGAGGTTAGGTCAGGTTAATTACGGAAAAATAGTAAGTTTCTACTGTACGAATAAATATTTCCTATTTGACATTCTATTTACTTATTACGTATAAAGGTTAGAAATCTTACAACGGTTACAAAAGCATTGCAAGTTCATAAAATAGAAGCAATTTAAAATTGCAAAAGTACATTTAAACAATTTTTATCACTCGACGGACCACCGGAGTCAAAATGAACCATTAGTAACTTTCTAAAAATGAATTTTTATGTAACTAAGACGTGATTAAAAAATTAGATACAAATAGAAGTGTACATACAAAAAACAAAGTCGGAAAGTTACAAACGATAATACTTACCAGTACCGAAAATTAATTCTTTTTGAAAAGTAACTAATAGGTTATTTTGACCTGGCTGGTACTTCTAGTGTTAATACTATTGCAAACTATTAAAACTAAAAACGTTGAAATTTTACAACGTATATTTCAAATTACGTATTAACTTAAATATAATGTGGAAGGTTTAAAAAGTATTAAGTAAATAAGCAAGCTTATTTATATGAACTCGGATTGAAATTATTAAGTCTATGCAAAAGTTTCCATCGCTTGTAAATCGATGACACCCAAAGGCACTGTATATTTCTTTCCTTATTTAAATTTTCACAGTTGGTATTTATATCGAATATAGTATTAATATTATATTATCAGTATTCTTATGACAAATAATTATAAATGTAATAAAAAGTAAATGCATATTCTTAAAAAAAAAATACGATGGAAACTTTTGTATAGACTTAATACTATTAATTTTAATACTAGTAATTTTTCATACAAAATGGTTTCTTAAGAATTAGTGCATCGGTTACGAGTAAACTGACGAAATAAGACTTCTGAAAAGAGCACGTATTTTCTGCGTTGCATTAGCACTCTGTCACAGGTAAAAAACATCATTTTCTTTGGACGAGGCTTATTATAGCCGCGTCTTCTACTCTCACTTTACGAGGGTGTGTGATGTAAATGAGGTTGAACAGTTGCTCGTCATAGACTGTGATTAGTAATATCTATTGACTGGCAAAGCAAACGTGAAGTCTCTGACGTCATCGCCTGCCCAGACGAAGGTAAAATAGGCGGGTCAGGTCATCTCTACTACTCTTGGGCCTCATAAATGAATTTCAGTCAATACGCCAGTTAATACGTCAAATTAGATGTTACGTAACACAGTTTATTATCCGCGGAGTACATTACATGAAAAATGAATCAGTTACGGGTGTTTCCAATGCAAAATTGTGTAAAATGAAAATAGTTTTGCTTTTACTAGAAATGAAGAAGCGTTTTGTGCACGTAATTAAATAATAACGAAAAAATAGAAAAAATATTCCGAATTCCATGATTTTCCATTTTTTACATAAAATAAATATTGAAACTTTCTCATTTCCTAATTTCCTTAGAAAATGTAGGAATTTATTTAGCAAGTTTATTTAATAAAATTTTCTTAGAAAATATAGTTATATTTATTACAAGTTTGTACATATAACAGTAACGAAAGCCTTTCGATTTCTAATAAACGTTTAGTTTTATTGCCGAGCATAATCGAAAGATGAATACTCAGTCTAGCATCAGCTTAGAAAGTTGCAATAAATTTCTCTATCTCCAATAACAAGCAAGATCAGATGTATTAATAAACGTTCAAAGTGGAAAGTTACTTTATATTATTTTACAAGATGATGTTAAAAAAGTTTAACCTGTAATATTGGCTGTTTCATGTATAATAGTAACGAAATTCTAATGAATTTTATAAGACGAATGTTTCATCACGATAATTATTCTCATAGTATTAGAATTATTTATAAAAATTATTTCCATCAAAAATAGCACAAAAGGTTGTCGCTTATTATTACGTATTTTTTCAAGGAAGTCAATTCTAATAATTTCCATAATTACCATTGCCATTAGTATTCACGTAATATGATACTTCAATAATCTTTAACCCTTTTCCTCGCGTTAAGCAACAAGCTATGAAAGCACAAGTATTAAAACCTACACGCATCTGTTATATCTACCAAATAAAATCAGGTATTACCATCCATTAAAGAAACACTGTAATACAACAGTAGGTAATATAGCAGAACAAAGAGGTGATAATTGTAAAAATGTGCAGAAAATATTTTTAAAATGACGAAAACTGCTGTAGAAAATTGATCTTCCATGTTATTCACTCTTTGAAACCATTTAAATTACTAATAAAAATTTTCTCGTTCCACCATAGCTAGAGAAGAAAATAGGTTAGGTCTGTTTTACATGGTCCACTCAGTATATTGAATTACATTACTCGTTGCAAAGAGTTCTATATGTATACCACACAGGAAAAATTCATAAAGGGAAAACACATGACGTTATGAACTGCACAAAAAAGCAGAAATACATTATCGATGAATCAACATAATTACAATTGTAATACAGTTACAATTATATACGTGAATTCGTCATTGAGAAACACACAATCTCTACGTTTAAACCATTCCTCCATCTCCAATACTTTCCGAGATATTCAATCAAATAGGTTTCGACACGATTTTTCATCCGATCCGAGTACTCGAAAAAATCCAGTAGCTCGAATAAACCGAGTCAAACTCGTCTTGGTTTTTCCAAGTACAGTGGCGCCCCGGACTTGCGTACTACATAATTGGTTCCAGAGAGGGCGACGTAAGTCGGGGTACATTTTCTTTGAAATTTATAGAAATGATAGAAGGGATCACATTTAAAGTTTCGAATTGTTTGCTCAAGTAACTTCCAGACCGATTCGGTAAGATCTAAACACGTACAGCGTGAAATATCGGTTAGAAACAATTGACTATCGAATTGTGTAGAAACGACATAACTCGGGGCCCCACTGTATTCGTACAGCTCTGTGTTCTGCAGGCGTTTATGGTCGTGCAGTTCTATCGAAACCACCCTGTATCCTCGCGAAAAACTGCTCACGTTGCATTTCCTCACAGTTGCATAGAATGACTCACACTTCTCCTTAATGACGGTCCTGAAGAAGGAAAGGAGAGGCCCTATCTGCCTCGAAATGTGCAACGCGTGTCGAAATTCTGTGTCATGGTTACGCATGGCTATCCGTACTCGATGAATCTCAGAACAAAGTAGGCTGACAATGAGCGATACGCGCCTTCCTACGCGACGTTCTTCACTCGCCGTTTCGCGGTTCAATACACCTGTCGATACACCTTTATGGACTGTCACGTGGCAAGATTTATGGTGAATCGACGATGCCGGCGTTGACGCCGCCGTTTTACCTGTTTCCACGGGAATCGCACGAATATTCGTCTAATGATGAAAAAACACGGCGAACTCTATTCGAAAAGTATTTTAACAAGTTACGTCCTTGTCCCTAATTAGGTTGATTCATGTCGCGGAGAGAAGCATAGGAAACAGCGGCATTTAAATATTGCCCGTAAACGCACGGAACGAGAACTCTCTGCTTACTCATAAATCCTTCTAGCCGCGACCGGTGCACACCTTTGATCCTTTCAAATATTCGCACAAAGATGTTGAGCAATTGAGATGTGGTTTATAGAGGACCAGGTGTTTAACGAGAAGTTGTTACTGAATTTCCTTTAAATATATGTAGTTAGATCCCTGAGAAATATATCGTTCGGAATTAACGATTGTTACTAGGTGTACAAATTAATTCGGTGTCTTTTCTCAAGAAATTCTTGACGACGTTGTCGACTCGAAATTGTCGTACTTTTTCAGAGAAGGAATTCATCAACTGCCTGATAAATGGAAAAAAGTACGTCGTTCAAAATAATCTCCATTATTTTGGATATTAAATGTGCGTTCGATTTAGCACAACTAATACTTTAACCTTAAGAGATGCATATTTATTGTTTTTTTCTTTAAGTTTTGGGTCTACTAAGTAGGCTATTTTTCAGTGACTACTGTTTAAGATCTCTTCTTTATTTTAACATATTTCATACTGGTTAACACATTCACTGTCCTGTGCATCATATGTGACGTAAGTACAGCGATCGTTTCTGTCATGATCATACAAATGATGTACGGATACAGCGAATCGAAGTCGCTTCATCACTCATCGATCGGTAATTCGTATCATTGTTTCAGTTACGATTCTTAGAAAGAAAAATTAAGAAACAGCACTATACAAAGCTAACGAATAGCGTTTCTGTTTAAGATTGTTAATATTTTATTTATTTTACCCGTATAAAATACGAAATATTTAGCGGAAAAGCGATTTGACGAACTGGCGAATAATGTGTAGTATGACTAGTAATGCTATAACTCAGGCGTGCACGACGAGTGCTGTAGTTTTGAATTACCAGTCAAAGGGTTAACAATTTCTTATGTTCTTGTGAAAGTATCGTAGAATCGCTCCAGTTCCCAATTTTTCAGACATTTTTACGTCGATCTACGTTTCCAAAGTAAAAATTTAATTTAAATATTGAAGCTTGAAACCACCGTGAACATTAATTATCAATTATCATTAACACTCCAATTAATTCTCCACTAATTCTCCAGATTTATTATCCAGTAGACACTCTATAAATTCTACAAGCGATATGTTATATTTCATCTTCAAAAAAATTGCCCTGCAAACTATTTGAAATATCAA